GACCAGAGCTAGCGGAAGTAGTTGGGACACTCGTGGGCAACCAGGTGCCAGGCTTGGTCAAAGGCGTCCACAACAGCCGGCTCCAGAGGCCCTTCCTCAGTTGCTGCCAAGTTCTGCTCCAGCTGCTCCAGGCTGGACATGCCCAGGATGACACCGTCCCCATGGGCTCCCTGCAAGGGGACACAGCCAGAGGTCAGCACACTTTTGCACAAGCCTCCACTCATGTCCCTCCGAGCCATAGCCCCACCGAGTCTGGGCTCTTGTCTTCACACATCCAGAAAGAACTGTAGGTGCCTCTGACAGTTGTAACAAGGTGACTCAAAAACCTTAGTTTCCCCTGTTGCCTCCTGGCTCACCAGCTGGACCTACCTTCATAGCCCAGTTCTGCCCCCAAAAAGCTGTGAAACCACGGGTAAGTTATTCAGCCTGAGACTCCACTGTCTCAATTTTCAGCATGGCCATGGGTGTGCAGAATCATGTGATGCACTGAGCTCCCATTTACTGAGCACCTACTCTAAATGTCAGACACTATCCACCCTCCCAAGCTGACACTGGATGAAAGTCTGTCCCAGGAAGACAGGAGATATCAAGAAAGAGGAAACCCAGCTCCCACTGGACCAGGGAGACTAGGTGGTCTGATGCCTAAATTTCTGTTCCCTTAATAGCTATGTGAACCCCACTTCCCTTCTTAATAAAAGGATTCTTGTACTGCAGAAGGCCTAAGGAAGGAGGAAATCCAACCCCAGCAGACAATGGGCAGAATGCCCCAAGAACTGGGCCAGAGACTCAGAGGGACAGAGAACAAACCCTTCAGAGGTCCCCTAAAGGTCACTGCAGCTCCCAGGGAAGGGCAGCAGCTTAGTTCCCAGGGTCGGCTGTTTACCTGCAGCTGGGAATGGTGGTACATCCAGCGCAGGGCCGCTGAGGTCATGCTGGGGGCACTGGCACCGTAAGTGGTCTTCAGAGCCTTCTCTACCAGGGCAATGGCCTGGAAATGGTGCTCTTTCCAGAAGCTGGACAGGTGGGACAGTGGCACAGAGCTCAGTCTTTTGAGGTCACCCTGGGGCAGCCAGCTGCACCCTAGCCCTTGAGGCCCTCAGGGCCAGCTAGAGGTTCTACTTTATCAGACCCAAACACACACAGGAGGCTCCCTTGCCAGGGCCTTCTCTGATGTGTCTTTTTTTATGAGACAGTCTCACTATGTTGCCTTCATTAGAGTGCTGTCGTGTCACAGCTCACAATCTCAAACTTGGGCTTAAGCGATTATCTTGCTTCAGCCTCCCAAGTAGCTGGAACTTCAGGCACCTGCCACAACACCCAGCAATTTTTTGTTGCAGTTGTCATTGTTAAGATGGCCCGGGCTGGGTTCAAACCTGCCAGCCTCAGTGTATGTGGCTGACATCGTAACCACTGTGCTATGGGCGCTGAGCCAGATGTGTCTATTCTTGATGACTCCTGAACCTAGTGACACAAAGGCAGCTATGATGGGGTGGGACTCTGCCCAGGCCTCCTGAGCCTCCACCCTGGGTTCTTTCTCTCTTTGTTAGCAGGTGATTTCTCAGGGAAGGGCTGTGACTTGGAGACCATAAGGTCCAGGGATCCTCATTTCCTCAGGAGGTCCCAAAGAAACAAGAAACCCTGCAGAGAGTTTCATAATTCCTGTAGGAATCTGGAGATTTAGGTACAGACAGCAAGGGAAGGCCTTATGCCCTAGGAAAGCAGCCTAAAACTTCATTTCAGATAAAAGGGATCCCCCATCGAACCCCCTCACTCGTCTCACCGATTCCTGTAGATCTCAGCCCAGTTATTCCCAAAGAAGCGGCCAGCTGGTTGCTTCCCGTCCTTGTCCTCATACTTGTACTTGCCGGTCAGCAGGCCCCCTGCAGGGAGGCTGCGTTCAGATCCCTGGGTCCAAATGCTCCCAGAGGTACCACACCCAGGAGGTACTAGACCAGGAGCTGAGGCAGGACTAAGGAGGGATGGAGGATGCAGCCCAGCCTCTTGTCAAACCCCTGCCAGCTCCTGGGCATGGCACCTTTGTCCTCATACTTGTACTTGCCGGTCAGCAGGTACAATGTCAGGAATAGGCAGAGACCAGGAATGCCCTCTCACCCCATGGCAGCACCTACCAGCCAGAGGGTTGTAGGCATAGAACCTCAGTCCAAAGTGCCTGAGGCAAGGGAAGAGCTCCGTTTCCACCTGCCGGGTGGTGGCGTTGTACATGCCCTGCAGGGAGAGGGGCCAGCTGGAGCTCATGGATGGTCAGGAGAAAGGACCTCACATTCCTCACATTTACCCTTGTAGAACCCTCAGTTCAGACCTTAACAATTCCACCTTAACACTCCTCTTAAAGATATACTAAGGTAAACAAGTATAGTTGAACGAAGAGGCAATCACAGTACACTATCCAGTTCCATGACCAGTGCCAGGCACCAGGTATGTGTACCTGGTGGAAGATAAATGGATGATAAGGAGGGAAAGGACAGCCTGAGATGTCAGGCTCTTCTGGGGCTGTCTAGAAAGGAATACAAGGAAGCAACATCCCATTGGGGCCTCAGTGCTTCCCCAGGGAGAAGAGGGAAGGACCACTCCAGGCTGACACATGCAGGGAATCAGGGAATGAAGGGACCAAGGTGCCCACTCAGGTAAGAAGTGGGCAGGTGCCTGGTGGCCAGACTGGCTCAAACGTTATCCTGCGAGCACCCAGGAACCACCTATCAGCTTTGATGAAGGAGTGGCTAATATACAGAGGGCACAGGGGACAGTCGGGGGGACAAAGAGAACCCAAGATCAGCAAGAGCCCTGGAGACCCAGGCCCCTGCAGCCGTGGCCCTCACCTGGTACACAGTCGGCAGAATCCAGCCGTTGTTTTTGCAGAGGGTGTAGATCTCGGCCACCTGCCAGGCAGCATAATTGGAGAGGCCAAGCTCCACAAACTTGCCCTGCAGGGGTGAGGCTGTGGTCAGTACCCTTTGTACCCCAAGAGACCAGGAAGAGGATGCCAGGGTACGGATCCTGGGAGTGAGGCTGTTCCCAGAGCATGGGGCCTGCCTGGTGCGTCCCTGAGTAACATCACGATAAGGAGAAGAGCAGCAGGCCACCTCCCGGAGCTCTCAGGCTGCCCTCACCTCCTGATGCAGCTGGTGGCAGGCCTGCAAGGTCGTTTCCACTGGGGTACTGTGGTCTGGCATGTGCAGGTAGAAGAGGTCCACCCGGGGGCACTGCAGCCTCTTCAATGATGTCTCCAGCTGGGACCGGAGGCTGTCAGGCTTCAGTGAGTTCCCATACAATGGGTTGGCCTTGGTAGCAATTTTCACTTTGTGGGGAGAGGAATGAGTGGTTCAGGCCAGTATATCAAACACTGGAAGGGGTTTAGTGTAATGGTTAAGAGAGCTGAGTTTAAATCTCAGCTCTGCCATTGCTAGCTCTGTGACCTTGACCAAGTTACTTTAACCTCTCTGAGGTTCAACTGTAATAACAGAAAAAATGGTGCTGCCTTGTAGAGAGGTCCTAAGGATTGACCAGAACTTGGATAAAAGTGCTCATTTGGGCTAAGCACAGTGGTTCACAGCTATAATCCCAGCACTTTGGGAGGCCAAAACAGGAGAAGTGGCTCAGCACCTGTGGCTCAAGTGGCTAAAGCGCCAGCCACATACACCTAAGGTGGCAGGTTCGAATCCAGCCCAGGCCCACCAAACAATGATGGCTGCAACCAAAAAAATAGCCAGGCGTTGTGGCAGGCGCCTGTGGTCCCAGCTACTTGGGAGGCTGAGGCAGGAGACTCGCTTGAGCCCAGGAGTTAGAGGT